TATATATATATATAATTACCATCTTTGACACGCCTACATGACCTGGAAGATGGTAACATTTCTTCTGAGACAACTCGCCCATACTAGTTTTACACATCTCACACACAATACAAAGAATTTCGTAAGTATTTTTCATTTTGAAGTAAAAAATAAACATAATTATAATTAGTTATCATTTTAATTCTCAGTCCAATTGTTTCACAATGTATGCTCGAACATTCCTTCTCGTTGTCATCTCGTTGTCATCATGTTGTTTCCGTGGTTTCTTCCAACAAACACCAGGCGAATGCCGGAACAGTGGTCCCTATCGTACCGTAACGCACGGGCTATCGTACCCTAACCGACCTCAAGCCGGGGTGAAGATCACCGCAAGATCAAATTTCAAAATATGAAGTTACACATTTCCTCCTGTTTGGTAGGAAACTCGTAATATAGTAGTGTTTGCCGGGTTGCGTTTTAACGCAGAGATTTCGTCTACCCGCCAAACACCAGTGCGTGATGTGTTACCTTAAAGACTGGGACAAATGTCGCATGTGAAGTAATATAAAACTATAAAACTTCTAAATTTACCGTGTGTATGCTAGATTTTATAACATTCTCGTTGTATGAAGAGTTCTGCTGGAAACTCGACCGCGTGCACCAGACAGGAGGCACGGCGCCCTTGAAACGGAGCGGCGCGACGCACGCACTCACGGCCAGGACGCAAGCACGCACGTGCGCCGGCGCGCGCGCCCGCACGCCACCGCCCCGCGCTAATAATTACATTAACGCCCGCTTTTAAAAAGCCATCAAACCGGCGCGGCGCGCGCGCGCCTCGGCGGAGGAGGGCGGTGGCCGTCAGATAGCGGTAACGACATCCACCGCCCACCCCCCACCTTCTTCCGTAGCGCGGCGGCAGCGCTAACTACGACCCTTCTTTTCGATCAATCACTATCTTATTCGCATTACTTTTGTATCTCGCATTGTTACCTGCCATTTTGTATATAAGGTTTGTCAAAGAATAAGTGAATAATAAGGCATGTAGGGGGCCGAAAGTGATTCAATTTAATTAAACGATGCCTTATTTTACGCGGCAAGCCACAGGTCATCAGGCCTGCTCTTCCGGCTGACCACGCAAATTTCGCTACGCTCCTCGCACCATCCAGTGCAGAATGAAGGTATGACTCCGGCGACGAAACATGCGATTTTGAATTTAGTTAAGAAGCTTATTTTAGGGAAATTTGAAATAATAAAGTTACACCTTTCATATTTCCTCCTCATTCGTAAGCAAATCATTATAAAGTGGCGTTTGTCATGCTAAGTTCCAGAGCAAAGATTTCGTCTACCTGCCGAGCACCAGTGCGTGATGTTACCTAACAGACTGAAGCAAATGACGTGTGTGTAAAAACATCTTTATTTGAAATTTTCCACCCCATGTTCATTGTCAATAGGTGACCTTCTTCGACCCCCCTAGAAACCCTAGAAGTTTGTAATATTTTTTTTGTGGCATCGTAAATTCTTCACCAGTCCTATCAAATTGCATAGAACTAAGAAAAGTTCTGCAAAAATACTCTCTCTCTTTCTCTCTCTCTCTCTCTCTCTCTCTCTCTCTCTCTCTCGACGTCGTGTGTGTATGTGTATACTAAATTGTAGTAAAAACACATCCCCGTCACGGTGTAAAATGACGTTTTAATGTAATCAACTTCATCAAAAATTTAAATATCTTATCAGTGAATTAGAAAACATTTCTCGTTCATTCTAAATTCCTTCAAAAGGTTTCAAATTAGTTGATTCCCCTGGGATGCCTGGGCATTTATACGGCCCCACCCGGCCCTTCTACGCGCCCGCCTCCTTCGCTTGGTCCGCCCCACAGTTCTACTCCTCTCACTGGCTTCGTCCGACTGACATTTCTAACTGGAGCACGAGCAGTATGCAATTACTATGTTTGAAGAAGACAGTAATGTGTAATGCTGATATGCTTTCCTCGTTTCAAATATCTCAATTATTCACCCCTAAAATGGAATGAACATTCGTTTGTCTCAGCTCCTTCCATTGTTTCACTTCACCCTTCCATATTATTTACAAAAATTCTCTTCATATCAATACTTTTGCCGGAATACCAATCTTCAGCACTTTTTACCCCAATCTGTATACAGAAATATACATTTACAATGTCTAAATCCGCTCTGGGGTCAAAAATACAGAGAAAGTCTGATTGCAAGAAGTTTCATTTTATTTTGGTCTTTACTCCTTTTATTCATATTTGTCATTTTTTTTTTAATTCACTGTATCTTTTACAGCACGTCCCTTTATCCATTCTTGGAGATTGACGGTATAAGTATTGGAGTAATCCACCATTAACGTATTTGTCATTTGTCTCGTAAGTCGATATCGCAGTCAGTCGATACTTTTCCCTGGGCTAGAGACTCGGCGTCGTTAGTAACCGGTGTTCCCAGACGGTCACCCATCCGGGAATCCGTGTCTCGAGTTGCTTAACTTCCGTGACTTCACAGAGTTTATATAAGCAATTCGGCAAACAACGCCGGCGATTATCGTCTTCGTTCGCTATTTCTTAAAACTAATAGAATGCAAATTTTGACAGTGCAATTGTTTTATGGGCTACTTAAGCTTTTATGAAATTTTTACATCTGTGGTTTAATAACCTGTTTGTGGATTAAATTGTACAACAATTAATTTATTGTTCATATAAATGCCATAATTATCAAGCGTTAATTATACTTAAGATGATATACATATAATTTCTCTTTGCATTTGCATCTTCGTCCATCGATCAATGGACTAACCAATAACCACAATTGAGGAAGACATCATTGTTTTCCATGCAAACTTCCATCGATTCATAATAACCTATTGGACAAAAAACTTATGAAAACATAGGTTTAGCTAAATAAGAGATGGTATAAGTAATATAGGCAAGAGAAAGTTTTACAATAAATTTGCCGTCCAAATTGTATCATTGGTAACAGTGTGTGGATGTACTACATATCTGTGTTTAAAACATTTCATGATTTCTTTTACAGTAGCTATGAAAACTGTTCAAGCGTTTTGAATTGTTAATATTTATTCACGCAAGATGTCATATAGCAACGTAAAGACAATAACTTGCTTCAGCAACCTCAATAAATGGAAAATCAGAACAGTGTTGGTTGTTGCGTGACAACATAGTGCCATCTCATTTTTACCATATACGCATACTTTTCAATGTCGTGGGAAAAAATGCTGCGACTGAGTAGAACTAACGTGAAAGAGATAATATTCTCCTGTGAGTCTTTGTGAGCTATTTTGCTCTGCTCAGACGCGAATACTACTAGAATAGCATCACTGTTGGGAAACTATGTTCTTCCTGTAACTTATTATTTAGGAATATGTCATTTCGGTCTCTTATTACATACATTAGTTTATCCTGCAAATTATTCATTCTTTTCGCATTGTTAAAATATTCCTTAGGTTATTTCTCGGAAGTTATTATATTTTTTACATCCTTATGATCAATTATCGTAATTGAAGTTGCAAGAATCTGAAGTTCTCCCCGTTGCCCGAGTATTTATTAATCAGCAAATGGAGTGAGTTCTATGTACGAGAAGAGTATATTCCCACTCTACACTATTACGCGCCGCCATCCCGGCCTCGTCCCTTAAGGGCCCCATATACGAGCGGCCTCAATGCTTGGCCCGAAAAGTCCCAGCCTTGAGGAATTTCTTAACGTATGTTGCAGATTTCTTGAGGCCGCGGAGGAGCCGAGAGGGTGAAACATCCCGAACCAAATTCAATTCTTTTGAGCCTTGAGGTCGAATTTTCTATATCTCTTGATGACGTGTGGGGTTGATGCTCAGTAGTTATTTATGATGATGCTCAAAGGTTCTTCATATCTCGCGAATTTTTATAGGAACTCATCCGAATGCTTGAGAACGAATCTTGCTTGTGGGGAGTTAGTTTTAAAGATTATCATGATCGAAATAAAAAGGATATAACATCTACGTTGACCTGGAAAAAAGCTTAAAGACATTTTCCTGGAGGATTTCCTTTAGGAAAAAACTCTCCATGTATGGGCAAAAGTTTGGAAGCGCAAATTCCCCAGGAAATTCTGGATGATTTTTCCTTGGGAATATTTGTATGCGTACGAGTATTTTTACGCGCAGATCTATGTAGTTTCTACCTCCTCACACGTCCCTGCCAACATTCACTCTCCTCTGGCCCCACCCCTTGCTCAGATCTTCTCACGATGTTGGCTACGACCATCATTGCTATGGTCGACCATCATTGCAACTGCTCATAGCCACCACCATGGCTATGAGCAGATGTCAACATGCAATGCTCACTCCCAGCAAACATCTAGTAACAATTTGACCTTCCATTAGTCCAAATGTAATTGCGTTAACAAAACTAATCAAAATCATTTAGTATAATATATCTTAGACTTTCAGACAAGTTCAAATCATTTTAGTGTATTTTGTTGAAGTTTTGGGGATATTCCCGAAAAAACTAAGGGTGCACATTTGATGTCTATATTCTCTCTGCTGCTTACGCAGTATAGAGATAGTAATATAATGCTGCGGGGGAAACGGCGAATTTTCGACAAAAAAGAAACTCTTATCGTCGGGCCCTGGTAACGCACCAGTAAATAACTCTTCTCTGAATATTATAAACAAGTTATGAAGTCAGAATCCATGTTTTGCTCCATTAAATCGTCTTCCGTCGAAGTTGGACGGTGAGAACATACACAAAAATGTGGAGTCCATGAAATGGACTGTTATGGTGCCAATGTCTTCTTTTTATCCAACAAATATTTACAATATATTTTAAATTTGAAATAATGTGTAAATACTATATCAAATGAATAACAATTACAAAAGAAATAAAATGAAGAACGTTACTCATTGGTAATTTTCTTGGGATACTTTTCGAATCTATAGTAAAAAGATGATTAAAATATATTTCATTGCTACGGGGATTAAGAATATATGAAAATGTTGGAGTAAACCAACAACAGCATAGATAAATATTAATTATTAAAACGAAGGGGGAGATGAAGAGTGGAAATTCTATTCAGTAGAGAAATTTCTTGGCTATTGTCAAGGAGGTTTAGAGCTAGATGATTCATTGCATTTCTAGGCGTTTTTGATATTTTGAGCTAATTTCTTGTGTCGTTTCTTGAACTGTTGCTATATTCAAGGCTAGTATACTTATGTAATAACAACTTTTTTCTACTGCATTTAAATATATACATATTATAATATATCCACCGAACAATATTTATCTTTCAAATCTTATAGTGCAATCAAAAGCAATTCTTATAGTGCATGTTTATACATATTTTGAGAGTCTTTATAATTGCATAACACAGGAAAAATGTCTAAAATGCTACTATTAATTACTCTATTGATGTAGTTACTGATTTTTACTAGTAATAACATTAATTATAATAGTAATAATAAATGAGATGTTAATAGCAATAGTTATGAATATTATTTTTGTAAGATATTGAAATTTCGGGATATTAAGACCTTCAGCAATAGTTCCAGTCCATAATTGAGGTGCATTTTGTTATAATTTGCATTGTTTTGGTAGACTATATTTTACTTAGATGTTTAATGATAAATATAACGGATAAAAAGAACAAATTATGATAATAGTATCCTATTTATGAATATTTATTTAGCACATATTTTCTGCGATGTTAATGCATTTGTTTTAAATGTCTGTTTTAAATCGTCATACATTCACATACATATTTTACATTTTGTAATACTTAAATGTCCAATACATTGGCTGACTGGGCTTGTGTTTGTGTGTGGCAGCGCACGGCAAGCGCAGCGCGTGGGCGCGTGGGCGGCGTCGGCGCGGGGGCGTCGGCGCGGTGGGCGACGCCGCGAGCGCTGGCCGGGGGCGAGGGCTGCTGGCCGCGCCCGAGGACGCGCGGTGGGTGCTGTCGCGCGTGTGCGCTGCCTCCGCCCCCGGACGACGTGTGGCGCCACCTGGACCGCGCGCGCCCTGCGCGCCGCGGCGCGCGCAGGCGGCGCGGAGGCGGAAGCGGCGGCGGCGGCGGCGGCGGCCGATGACGGCGGCGGCGACGACAGCCTGCCCGCAGACGCCGGACGCCTCCCGCTGCTCAGGTGTGGCTCGTTCCCCGCCGTCAAGTTTTACTATGGTGTCTCAGAGTAAATATTGTGGAGAAGTTACTCCAAGTAGGGACGGGTCGGAAGACGAATGTTAAGGCAGATCCACACATTCAGCATTCGCCGAGTAGTGAACGGCTGCTTGCCCAATGTTGAGGAAGGGACATGTTCCCCGCCACCAATTTTTAATATGATGTCTCAGAGAAAATGTTGTGGAGAAGTTACTCTAAGAATGGACCAGTATTGGTAGAAGGCATTGTAGGAGTATCAAAGCCACTTAAAATTGTGGCAATTGCAAAATTGTGGCAATAGCAAAATTGTGGCAAGTGGAATATATATCTGAAAGCCTTAACATCGTGTTGTGTTCTTCTGTGGAAGCAAAATCAGAATTAAAAATCAAAATGAAAAAAGAAGGTGTTACCAGTCAAGAAGTCGTTTCCATGCTCGTTAACTACTAACGTAAATTTTAAAGTTAGAATAAAAACGTGATTCATTTTAGTGAGTACTTTTTTACAATTATTCCTTTTAAATGTGGTCTTATATTGTTTACATGCCTTTTTGCACCCTTACTTTAGTTTGAGAAAACGCCTTTTTGAATGCCTATTTTCGTAAAAATAAATGCCTTTCTGCCTGCTTATTTGAAGTAAAATCCTGCCTGAACGTCCGGGCTCTAGTGATAGATAAATTGGGCTCACGGGGTTGATTCTGCTAGTCTGTACATCCGGTTAGTTGATTGATTGCTATTGATTCCCCGGCGGTAATTAGTCCCGTATGTGTAGTGCATGTTTTGGCTCGGAAGTTGATGAAGGTCTTCCCCCGCTGGGTGATGAGACCCGTCGCCGACCTACTGTCGGGTTTTACTCAACCAGGTATCTCCCGTCAGCGGGGCACCACCCTAGCCGTGACGAACTCTTAGCTCCTGGCCAGTCTTCCGACATATGTGGTAGTGTAGTACATGTTAGTCTAAGTGTGTGTGCAATGGGAGAGGATAGGACAAGGAAAAGTAAGGAAAGATTGCGCGGGGTCCGTGGCCCGTTTGTTAGGGTCCTGCTCCAGCATTCGCGTGGTGTTGACCGGAAAAATCTTGGAAAACTGCCGATCAGAGCAGCCGGACACTAGAATTCTCCAGACAGCGACTGAATTCAACCTAGCTGACAAATAAGTGCCGAAAATTCTGCCGCCGTCGTAACTCGTACCTAGGCCAGCGGGGCTGCAGTGAAGATCTGTCGAAGTCCTGTGCCATCTCTCCCGGCTGCTTCCGCGTTAGCAAGGCGAGTGGCCAAGGAGCCGAGCGGAGCGTCCCGCGGAGAGAAGGTCACAGCGCGAGCGTGCGGCGGCCGGCGGACCGACCGACCGGCCAGCCGCGCCGCAGGCGTTGCAGGAACAAGCCCTGCACGTTTTTACCCCGCCGCGCTGCAGGCGGCAGGCGGGCAGGCGACCGCGTACACGCGCTGCAGGAGCTCCGCCTTGCACGGTGGATGTTGTTTACGAGCGTGACATCAAGGTGGTTCGCGGAGCTGGTTTAACGTCATTATTCGCTGTTCTCGACTGCGGAACAAGAGCGATTTGAAAAAAAAAATGAAGGCAAAAATTGTTTAGGAAGATCTACACAGTCAGGCAATTATGTAATGAGACTGATTGTATTATGGCTACACAAAGAAAAATATTTTAACATTAGTTGTTTATTAATCAAAGTACATCCCTGCTGCATCAATACTGTCAGCGGCTCGATCGTGCAAGGAGTAGAACGACCTCAGCCACTCAGAGCTCGGTATGTTCCGTGAAGCTGGTATCACAGCTGTTTAAATGTCCTCCACATTGCCAAAAAGTCGTCATTTCAATGGTAACTTCAGTTTTGGTGACAAAACGTAGTCGCAGGGGCCCTATTAGGAGAATAGGGGGAGACTTCAGCAAACACACTTGTTTTTTGGGCCAAAAATTCCTGTACAAGTACTGCCCGATGGGCTGGTTCGTTCCAAGTAACTCCATACACTCTCCGCATTAAATCATCAGTTTTTGTGGCACTTTTACCCAGTTTCAAACAGAATTTTCTCTCTGATCCATGATGCTAGCGTGACGAATATCTCTCAGCGACTGCTTGTAACGTACTTTCCGACATGCTCTAGGCACGACAATGTGGAGTTGCCAGATTGTTGACAAAGGAGTACTGTGTTGAATGCATGCATTAATTTACATATAGCATTTACAGTTTCGTCACAATAAAATCAGTCTCATTATATAATTGCTGGAGTGTACTGTGTGTACCATTATTATGAGTAGTACATAACTTAACAATTTGCGACTAATTCTGCTGACATCCCGCGAGTGATATTCATGTCAAAATTGGCTGAATTAACAATTTAAAGGCTCAGGATAGTAACAAGATAAGCCACACCAACCACAGCAAGGTAATTCCCATAAATCGTAAATGTTAATACATCGATTTTGGTCAAAGTTTACCTCATCTTGTTACTGCTCCAAGCCCTTCAATTCTGTTGTCTCAGATATGAATTATGGTTATAAAAGAATCAATTCATTGTAAATTTTCATATCAATTTATTTCATATCATTTAGTCATTTTCAAGAAAATATTTATCTTTGTTTACAACACCTATCACAATGAATTGGCATTAACTACAAATTTATTCAATATCTGCAAAAGAAAAACTATTTAAAAAAATATAGATGTGTTATGTTCACTCATTTCTCAAATATGGAACGAAAACATTTGCTAACAAACAAAACAAACAATATTGTTTTAGATTTTGCTCTAGCAGCTTCAATTTATTTAAGCGGGCATTACTTTCCTTCGTGAAGACTTTCATTTCTCTTCCGTCACCGCCTCCACCGCCGCTACATTTGTCCTATCAGTCTACGTCAACGACGCTCTGCCTTTCTGGCAAAGCTCAGAGCTGTTCTGCAATTTCCGGGTAGATCCGCGTTCGACTGAATTCGACCGCGCGCGATCTTTCCTTCCTTTTTCGAGTCCTATCCTCACCCCTTACACACACTTGCATGTGACATGCACTACACTACGCGTTTTTTCACACTACTCAGGTCTGATATTGATTGAAGAAATCAAGGAAAACTACCGATCAAAGTAGCCAACAACTAGAACTCTCCTGCAGACGGCGGCTGAAGTCGACCTAGCTATATAACTAGTGACGGAAATTCGCTAACTTCTGTATTCGAAATAATTAAAGATGTTGTCATTGCCAACAATATTCTTTAATGCAATAGCAGCTTTCGATGGCTTAGCCATCATCATCAGTTGTCTGCTAGATGGAAGCCACAAAACGACTCCTCATAGAGTCGTTTTGTGGCTTCCATCTAGCAGACAACTGATGATGATGGCTAAGCCATCGAAGCTGCTATTGCATTAAAATGTTGGCAATTACAACATCTTTAATTATTTTAAAAATGCCAAAGATATCTTACCACAACACCTATATTCTGTATTCGAATCAGAAAACCTCTCAGTCAACAACGCTCCAAAGACAATGCTACAACAGTTCCAATGCTACCATAGAGTTCCAATGCATTTTAACACACTTGCAGATAAATTATTTTAATGAACTGCTAATTACATTCACAATTAGTTCTTAATTTTTCTCAAATTACATAGATATTTATTCTGGCATCCGCCGATGACCATTGGTGTTCTCCGGATTCCGGAATGGCATTGTATGCGATTTAAACACAATTAGTGGTGCTAATACAGCACGTGCTTTCTCGCCCGTACTTTCACGCACAAGTTACGTACAAAAGTACTAAAATTTTCGAAAAATTGTACATTACCTTTTTTAAAATACTTTCTTTGAACACATTTTATTAAGGAAAAATATCTCTATCTTTAATATTTTAGTTTTAGAAAAACTCCGAAAAATATTTGAACATCTGCAATTTTCTTTCGAAAATTGAGTTCAACCTGTAAATCGGACCTATGGCACCTTTATAAATATGTTTCACTCTATAAGAACAAAATTGGAGCCGTTTTTCAGTAAATTTTGAAAATGTCCAAAGGGCTTCGTGTAAAGAATCCTCAAATTTTGAAGAAACCTGGATTCTTGCTACACCACGTGATAGAGGATTTTTCTAAATTAAGCAATTGGATTTACAGACTTTTTCGTTAACAGGGCTCTGTAATAAGAGTTTTTCTGTCGAAAATTCGCGCAGCTTTACATAACTTTCTCTCTTCCCCGTAGCGAGAAAGTAAAAATTGCATTCTGAATTTCATAGTATCAATTTTAGGAATCCAATGGGACAACTTTATTATTTTTTCCGCTTTCAATGATATTCCGTTATGTAATTATTAGTGCAAGATGAAATGATCTGACTGCAACTGGTCTTAGCTGGATCGTATACATGTCAGTATTTACTCGATGTGCTTTATTAAAGAGAAGGAAGTTTATAGCCAGGGAATTCCTCTTTTATTCTCGGGAGACTTTATGGACCTTCGTTGTTTCACGTGTTTGCATTTTTACGAACATGTTGGTATTGCGCAACTACGAGTGTACGGGCTCAGAATTCACATCAAACTAGTCTTAACTATATCCTTTGAAGACTGAAATACCCTAGCGCTTCAAAATTGAAGCCAGCATTTACAAAGTTTAGGAAAAGCATAAAAGTTGATGGAATGGCTTATATTTGTAAGTTTTGTCATCTGAAAGATTCAATAAAGTGCTTATAATACACCTCTCTCAATTGATATTTAAAAATAATTTTGTTAACTTAACTGTTAAAATATTCTTCGTCTCTTTTGTTGTTTAATTTTTAAAGTTGTTTATTATAAAAATATTAACTGGTTAAAATTATATTCTGAAAATAGCGTATACGTACGAATTCTCGAAGACCACGCGGAAATAAACTTCCGCTCAGATGTAGTCTACCGTTGCAACAACTTGTATCAAACTAAGAACACGTCTTAAGCATTAATGGATAGGAAACTGAAGTTCTGAGAAGAAACTACTGGTTGTATTCAATATTGGAAGCTTAACTGGCTTATGTATGACAAATTATTCGTATTATTGAATGATATTGAATATTATTATATGATAAACTATGATATTCAACCTCGCTTGTTCACTTTTCTAATGGATTTTTTTTACACAAAGTGCTAAAGAGTGTCTCTGAATAAATGTTAGAAAGTTTTTTAAACGTGAATAGGTGTCTAAGGTGATCACATTTTGTTGCTGAACAAGTGGAGGAAAATTTCATATGAAGAAGTTACATATGTGAAATTTACCTCGATTGGTATATTCGTATTTATAATTTTCCTCGTCATATTGGTGTTCGGCAGGTAGGCCTTACAAGAAATATCTGCGATTACATCAGAACGTAACCTGCCAAACCCCAGTGCACAATAGAGATAAATACCACTTGTGTAACTCTCTTGCTTGACATTTATCACCATACATCCACATGCTCAGGGGGGGGTGATCATCTTCGACAGAATTTCGTAATTTTTATTCTGAGACATCTTGTAATTACGAGTACTAATGTACGCCAGGAAAATCTCTCCGCAGTGGACACTTTGCTGGTGTGAGGGCTAGCAACAGAAATTATGTTGGTAACACGAGCTGCAGCTTGTAACTAACGAAAACGTAAATTACATAATCGACACAATCATAACAGATGCTGAAAGTGTTGACCCCTTCATTTGTTTCCCGTTGATCTAGTTGTTACCAACATAATTTGAATTTTTAATAGGAGGCCCTGATTCGGCACGGCGCGGAGAGACTTTTTTGTTGCGTTGTATTGTTGAATATCCACAAATTACTAAATTTACTCTGTGATAGGCTCCAGTCTTATGTATCGTAGAATCATGAATGCAATGTTGAAACTGTTAATTGACTTCTTCAATCGCTCTGTGCAGAAACCCGTCAAGGTCGCTCTCCACCATTTTTCAGAAGCAAAAACCTTAATTACTTTACACCCGATTCTGCACCTATCGAAAATTTTAGACAGATGTTACTCCCACAGTTCACGGCGGACATGAGCGATTTTTAACTTAACTCAAAATCTCTCAAATATGGACATGAGCTTACGTTTTGAGAGGGCCTGAACAATGCCACCTAAATCATCAGGCCTATTGGTTGACCACCATCTTATTATTACTCGGGCAACTTTTCTTGAACGATGGATTGACGATTTCGGGTGGAGTGGGGGTATTAGTTACAAAGTCTGCCACTAGAGTATTTTAAGTAATGCCAACGTCTGTGAAATGAAAGTCAAAACTGCATCTTGTGCTTAACTTTTTCGGGAGTTTTAGGTGACTCTTTTGAAGGACCTGGACCTGACTCAGCCATATCTTTCGATTTTGACAATAAACCTGAAAAGGGGTTCTGCGCTATGAAAGCAACTGGCTTTGACTAGCTTTTGTTTCGCGCCAACGACGTTTTAGTGCTTGGAAGGTTGTCATCAAAGACCGCTGCGAGCTTTTGCCTTCAACTGTTTATTGCACAAGGGAGGGGGATCAAGGTCATCATTCAAGAAAATAGCGCGAGTAATAATTACATCGCTATTTGTAGTCATTGTAGTGCATTTTTTGTAACTCTGCCCCTCAAGGCCCTACTTTGCGGTGGCATTATGCGACCGTACCGAAATACTTCACGGTATTTTGCGTCTTTCTCGGGCCTGCCGCCAGATGTCCAGCACTGCTATGCGGTCGCGATCATGCGACATCTTGCGGCACGACCGAGAAAGACGCAAAAAACAGTGACATATAGTACAGTTTATATAGTCGCGCACTTAACGTAAATCAGCAGTTGCGGTTTCATCCAATCGGGAGCTTATATGTCGCTACAATGACGTCACTATGGGGACGTTGAAGCTCCCGACTGCGTGAAACTGTGAACAGCTGATTTAGTCAAGTGCACGGTTAAATAAATCCTAGTACAATGCCACCTAGTAGGGCCTTGTGGGGCAGTTATAAAACCCGCACTATACAGCATGTCAAGAGTTTCGCTCGTCCATTCTTCTGTGTCTCATTGTTCTATTTTGTCTGCTTGCGCAGCCCCGGCGTGGACTTGGCGGATGTGGAGGCGGCGGCGGCGGCGGCGGTCGAGGCGGAGGACGAGAGCAGCGAGGTGGAGTTGGGGCCCGTGGAGGCGGCGGCGGAGGCAGCGGCGGCGGCGGGGCAGGGGGACGAGGGTGGCGTGCTGCTGATGGAGGCGGACGACCGCCCCCGCGCCCCTCGCCCGCGCCCGCACCCGCACCCGCACCCGCACCCCTTGCGTCTCTACAAACTCCTGGTGAGGGCCATGTCAGAGTCCATTGGCGACCATTTCGCAGTCGCTTGTAGTGAGATTACTCCAAGAACGGGTCGCTTTGACATGCTGCTTGAATACTGCTGGCAGGCTTTGTCCGTACTCACAATTTGTTAGTGTTCATTGTTGGCTCGCTTGTAAATGGCTTTTACACGACCCTACCTCTTGCTTTGTCATCATCCGACAAGACGTTTCCTATTTTTCAAACCTCCTTTGAGTGATTTCTCTTTGTCAATGGGTCAATGGACCCCGGCGTCTGTTCCATTTTCTCACCCTTACTTCGTAAAAAGGGAAAGTATTGTAATCGTGCGCCGGAAAACGCGGGTTTTCGACAGAAAAATTTATTGCTGGGTCCTGGCCACGAAAAATTAGATACATTTTATTCTACATGTAGTAAATTAATTACTCTAACACGTTGGGTAGTCAGAATCCAGGTTTTGTGGGCCCTTGATACCGAAAAATTGGTTGATGGCAAAATGTCTGTTCGTCTGTGATCAACGCTAGCGTTTAAACCGTTCAGCCGATTTTCTTCAAAATTCATATTCCCCGATGGGTTTAAATGAATGTCAGGTCCTCTGAGTTTTAAACGAATGCATTGATTTTTCGTGTACTTTACGTAAAGCCTCTAAAACATTTTTTAAATTTTCTCAAAAAGGATCCCAATTTTTACATTAAATTTGGTTCTCAGAATACGTAAAGGAAATGGTACAGGTCTTATTTTCGTTTAAATTCCAGATTTTTCTAAAACTGCAAAAGTTCAATTTGTTGCTCTCTTCCTTTGTTTAGTTGTAGAGTAGTTTCTTCTTCTTCTTCTTCTTCTTCTTTTAGAACTTTTATTATTATAAACTTTCTCCTACCTAACACTTTTAGTGCTAGTTTTGTATTTAAATACTTAAATACTGGATCGTTGCAAAATATTCGAAAGTATCACCGTGCGTAATTGCTTCATGGAAATTCAGACGTTCTCTTACAGCCGGCATTCCTTGTTCACGAATACGGACATCAGAAGTTGTTAAAATATAAACTGAAAATTATGATAATCAGAGTCCGATAATATATTTTATATATATAAAACTATAAGCAATATTGATAAATATTAATGTATGAGTTCATATGCTATTACATAGATTGTATTGTATTTTACTCAAAATAATATAAAATGCATTAAATTGAAATGTATTTATTTTATTTTTCAGAATCGCGAATCTGCAAGGAAACTGGACCAATGAAAAGGATGTAGTTGGAGAGTGGAGAACAAATGTTACTATTTTCAGTGATCCTTTTTTTAATATAATAAACGTTGAGTTATCAGTAATTACGGAATCTTGTTTCTGTTGATTCTGCATACTGCGATTTCTTTTTCATCTGTGGTACCCTGTTTAGCCGAGAGAGGATGGGTTCGCCCTCGCCTCTCCTACGGCCTCTTGAAATCTCCCATGTGTCCAAATCGTAAGAGTCCTCTGCATGAATGGCGAAATAAACTGCAATGTACATATTCTCATGCATATTCTTTCAAATTACATACTACCGTGTTATTAAATTTATTTGTATAAAATATTTCTGGTCGTTCACCTTTTATTTTGTAATTAAAATATTCCTTATTATCCTTTTTCGCCCTGTTGATAATTTTACGCCAAAATGTAGATATGATAATATAATCCAAGCAATGTTTAAGAGTAGTATGTTTCTTTTTATGTATGAGATATTCCTTTGTGATCACTCTTCCTGGAGGTAAGAGAAATGATTTGTATAAAATATTTTCTTCATGGCACAATTGATATATTTCAAGGGTGAATTCTTCCAACTAAAAATTAGATGTTTCAAGTAGTTAATAAACTAATATGAATATTCAAAGACATTATAGTAGTAAAATTAAAATATTCAAACATGAACTTCTTTGTCTCACTGATGCTCTTATTTTTTAATAACTGCGTATTTTACTTCCATGGATGGAAAACCCCATTCGCAACTTCTGTTAGATGTTATACATGTATGATAACGTACTAACAGAACATGGACTAATTATAAAAATTAAAATGAATCAATGAAATGAAATTGAAACAATTAATAATAAATATGCATTAAAAAGTTCAACGAGGACTGCATATTACGGACTTTTTCGCATTATCTGTAACAATTAGGCAAAATTATAATATTTTCTTCGTCTACTTGTTGACCTATCTTATGCATAACTTCTCTCAATTTGCATGAGAGCTCAAATGTCATTTTCCAAAAACCATATTTCGATGGGGGGAGCGATCCCATCGTAGCTTGTTCTTGAATCATTGTTTAGATAAGAAGTGTTTCATCGTTTGGGACGAACATATTTTTTATCATCGTTTGGGACATATAGAGAGAGAGTTTTGTCATTTAACGTTTATAGGATGATAAACAAAACACTACGTAAACAGCGCCTTGCGTAATTGCATTGAGGAACTGCGGCATTCTCTTAAAAGCAGGTCTTCTCATTAACATGCTGCAATATTATTTTAGTATTACCTAAACACAAATAGTATAAATCCTTTGAAATTTATTTTTGTACGGGTCATAAGAATCTCGACCTGCACGGAAAACAGGTGGGTCTCTAGAGAAAAATGACAAATTATCTATAATATAAAAATGAATCGCAAAATGTGTTGGTAAGCGCATAACTCAACAACGCCTGGACCAATTTGGGCAATTCTTTTTTTAAAATGTTCGTTGAAGTTCAAAGATGGTTTTTACGTCGCGAAAAATTCAAATAATTGCCGAAAAACCCTAAAAACAGCCTTTTTCTTTCTCCCATACAAACGTTTTCTAACTAAAACGTAAGAGTCAATATGAGCTTTATAGCTGTTGTATAAAGCACTCGTTGTTAGAAGCACAAGCACTCATTGTTGTTCCTAACGTCAAAGAGTGAATTTGCTAGGGTTGCCACCTCTCCGGTTTCAGACCGGAGACTCCGGGTTTTGAGCTTCATCTTCGGTCTCCGGTTTTTGAAAAAATTATCTGCGTTTTTTTTTCAATTTCAATATATTTTCAAATTTTTTACAAAATAAATTGATTTTTCAACTTAAAATT